TTCCACTTCCCCTAGACCTTTAACACTTTTCTTCCTATTTCACATTATCAGTTATACAATTTGGATCTTATTTACACTTTTAGTTTTTTGCACCAGAGAAACTGTTTGGTATATGCTCCATGTTTTAATGACACATTCAGCAATGAACACATTATTTGGATCAATCCACTGATGATTATAGTGATCCTATGATCCACTCACCTTCCAGAGACCCCACCTCTGAACACACGAGGCTTCTGGAGGACGTTTTACTCATTTATTTATTTTATTTTTATGTTTTTGGTACCCACGAGTGAACTCAGGTCCTTTTGCTTGCGAGGCAGGTGGCGGCACCACTGAGCTAAATCCCTGGCCCCACAGAGGGCATTTTAAATCTAAACCATGGTGGACAGGTGGGAAAAGTGATACTTTGATGTCCATCTACTCTGGCCTCAGGAGGTCGGAAGAGCAATAGGGACCTGGGACTGTTACCCATTCTTGTAGGTAGAAGGCCTCTCTGGCTTGTCTTGATGTGGTTTCTGAGGGATTCTCTTGTCCAGCACTGCACAGGCAGGCCTTGGCTGAGCCCTTCATATCTTCAGGGCCTCCAAGGAAGTGGTCACACTAAAGAGCATGGCATGGACAGAGCAATGGACCGAATGAAGGTTAAAATCAGGAAGGTCTGAGTATGAATCTGCTTTTACCATTTAACTAGCTCTGTGATTTTGAACCAATTCCTTAATCTCTCCAAGTCTCACCTGGCTTAGTTGTAAAATGGAGACAATGATAGTGACAGTCTCACAGTGTAAATGGAAGGATTAACTGAGATAATAAATGCGAAATTCCTAACCTCCAGCCTGACACCAAGCAAGTGCTCAATAAACTCCAGTGGTTGGTTTCATTTCCTTCAGTTGTAGTTCCTAATTGTGTTTTTATGTCACGGCATGACTATCGAATTGTTCCTCTTGCTTGCCTGATAGGAGACATTGTCTATCTATGGATCATGCTCCCTCCCTTGCTGGGGACATCTGTAAAGAGTGTCTCTTAACACTGCCTAGGGGAGTCTCCATTGGTTTGGCTAATTTCCCTCCCATTGCCATGGAGTAAAGCTCTCTGAATAAGCTTTTAATCCTTAGGTGTGCTGACTGCCTGCATTATTTGTATATGTTTTTTTTTCTTATTAGCATTACAAGATGCTTAAGGAAGGTGTGTGCTGGAAAGTGCTAGCAAATCATTTGCTGTGTTTTCATGCCCCACGCTACTTTTCTGCTATGAATGTATGTTGTGAAGGACAAGGCATTTCAAAGTTCCCACAAGGGACAGACAAGATGGGGCTAAGGGCTCTTGGGTCAAATGGATTTATATAGGGGGTCGTCTATGGATATTCCTCAAGAGCAAAGATTTTCTGAAGTTGGAGAAACAGGACAACCCAGGAAATGACCAGCAGCTGGTCAAGGCTTTGTGGTTGTTAACTCCCGAGGAAGCTCAGCTTACCTGGGACTTGACTCTGATATAAAGCAAGGACATATCTCTGAATGGGTCCCTGGTGCTAAGTCAGATTATGGGCCATCCCTTGTCCCAGTGGAATATACTAGGTCATTTCTATTTTCCTGTTCTAAAACTTCCTCAAGAATCCAACTGAGGTCTTCATAATGATCAGAAGTCTAGGATTGGGCTACAGCATGCTTGGGCACTGCAGCCATGTTCTGCCATGTGTCTTAAGTTACTTTTTTTGTTGCTGAGACAAAACATTTGACATCTAAAGTTAATGGATGGAAGGTTTATTTAGCTCACAGTTTGTAGAGGTTTTAGTCTATAATCAGCTGGCTGTAAGGCAAGGTGGCACAGCAGACAAGCATTGCAGCAGAGAAAAGTTTATGGTGAGGAGAAGGTAACAAAGTGACTAGGAGACCTTAACAGAGTCTCTTTTTGCCTCTTTTATCTTATCTAGATGAATCAGGGTGGGTAGTACTCATACGTTTAATCTTAGTGCCCTTGAACCTAACATTGCACCATGAATCATTTTTAGCTTCACACACTCTAGATCTAACCATCTTTGAAAAAGCCTCACCTATGACCACACGAGGCTTTGGGAGGGACATCTAAACACAAGCCATAACATTCCACTCCTGGCCCCCTGAAAGACTCATGTACATCCCTTTATGCAAAAGACATCTAGTGTATCTCTAAGAGTTGTCAAAGTCCTAATGGTTTCATCATTGCTGAAAAGTCTAAGTCCAAAGTCTCCTCTGGGATTTAAGGCAAACTCTGAGCTGCAAGCTAATACACAATGAAAAGAAGGTTAAATGCTTTTCTTTCCCCCTTTTTTCTTTATGGGGAAAGTTAAATGCTTTTAACATATAATGGCACAAGATAGACATTTTTATTCTAAAAGTTACAAGCAGGAGGATAGCAAAGAATGGGAACAAAACAAGACCAAAAATCTAGGAGGGCAAACATTAAATCTCACAGTTTTACTTTCAGCATCCTCAGCAATCTGTGGCAAGTTGTGAACTTTAAAGGATTTGAGTGGCTCCACCCCTACGACACTGCCTGTGGCTGTTGTCCTCATGGCTTTTCTCTTGGACTAGCTCTGATCCCTCCTTGTAGTTCTTCTCAGATGATCTACATTTCTGGCTTTTCTAACCTTCTTAGGTCTCTGCTGCACCTTTGGCTTCACACTCACAGCTTCACACACTGCCCACTTAGGAGCACACTGCCTGGCCTCCCAGGCCTTCTTCTGAAATCTGGGTGCAAGCCTTTTTGACCCTGTAACTCTTGTATTTTTCATGCACATAAAGCTAGCACCATGTGGACGATGTCAAGGTCTGCTGCTGGCTGGAGCCAGGCTTTCTTCTCTCTGCGCTGTTTAGTTTGAGTGTCTGTGAACTACCTTCACAACTTTTGAGAAACAACTTTTTTAGGCTGCCACTATTCTGCAACATGTTTTTTTTTTTTTTTTTTTTTTTTTTTTAAAGCAAGGTGTTTTACTTTTGTAATTTTGAGGCTGTAAAGGGCAGAGTCCTGCTGCTTTTTGTGATGTCCTTGGGCCATTTAAAATTTTTTTTGTGTGTCTTTTTAGCAATCAAGATCTTCTCTGCTCTGTCTTTGTAGTCCACAGCTTTACTGGAGTTTTCATTTTGGCCAAATTCAAAATGTTTTAGATCATTCTGCTGGACTTTTTGCTCTTGATTCTCAACATAAATCTGGCTAAAAGTCCCCACAATAGCCATGCCACCACCTCAACATTAGACTGCCTTGAAATTTCTTTTGTCAGATTAATTAGTCTGCTGCTCTTAAACTTAGGCCTAGGCAAAGTCTCTGCATATGAGCAAAATTCAGACAAACTGTCTGCCAAAGTATAACACACATTTTCTGAAGTCCAACAGCCAAATGCAGTCCTTTTTCCCAGCAGAAACCTCCAAAGCCTGGTCTTTACTGGCAGGATTTCTGTCGGCCTCTGGTCTTCTGATCTCTGACCAGAATCTACTATTAAGTACAGCTTAAGGCATTCCGGCTCTACTTTCTAAGATGGCATCTACAAATCTTTTCTAACTCTTTCCCTTCCCGCAAGCCAGGTCTAAAGGCCTCTAAGCCACATGGTCAGATACAGGCACAGCAATAACCCCACTTCTGGTACCAAATTTTGTCCTGGTTACTTTAGTTACACCTAAAGTTTTTTAAAAAAGTTTATTTAGCTCATAGTTTATAGAGGGTTTAGTCTAATCAGCTGGCTCTAAGACAGAGTGACATGACAAACAGGTATTACAGGAAAAAAAGCTTATGGCAGGCAAAAAACTAAAACAAAACAAAACAAGAAGACCACAACAGCATCTTTTTGCCCCTACTATTATCTATCTAGACTACTTAAGGCAAATAACACTCATGCCCTTAATCTTAGTGCCTTTAAATCTAACATTATACCATAAATGAATTCTAGCATCACACACTCTAGATCTAGCCATCTTTAAAAAAGTCCCACCTATGATCAGATTGCTTTAAAAAGACATCTAGACATAAACCCTAGGCAGAAAATTCACAGCAGAAGGGTTCCTGAGATTACTGATGGGACTAAGAGGTGACATGGCATATCCATGTGGTCCTGTGTGGTCATTAGGATAGCATGACAGACTTCTATTTGGAGAGTCCAGGTATTCAGAGGACTGGGGAGGGAAAGGCCAACTATATCTGCTGAAGACCCAGCCTTGCCCTCCAGGGAGTTCTGTGGAATCCATTTTTCATTCTCAGGGACGCCAGAATTGTGAGCTCAAATCCAATAGCTGTCCCATGTCCATAGAGGAAAGCTAGTTTCTGATGACATCAGGATTAATACATAGACATGGTACTGGGGCTGTCTCTAGTTGGCTGTCTCTAGTTTATCTAAAATAAAAGATTCCTTCAATGTTTTAGGAAGTGGTCAACACAGGCACTGGCATGGATTGAACATTTTGGACTGAAGGATGAGACCTGACTGTGCCCTATCTTTTGTCGTCTAACACTGGGGGATTCTGAAGGCCAATCTAGGGAGTGGAGCCAGAAGCCCAGAGCATGTAGGCTGGGGAGCATTACTTGGTTCAAATATTATACTCAGCCACCTGCTCACTGAAGGCCTGAGATGCTGAGGGAGGTAGGAGAGGAAAAGAAGATGGGAGGAAGAGAGGTGAATGTGAGTGAGATCCAGGGAGCAGTGAGATGGCCTTCTTAGGGATCCTGGGTAGTGAGGGGGTGGGGTAGGGGGCTCTGTTAGAGTGAGTGTCAACTTAATTTGCTTTAAATGTCTTTTCCTCTTAGTGGTTGGTGTCAGATATTGGGTCCAGCAATGAAAAACTGACCAATACCCAATTGTTAGCTGCTCCTGACATGGGATGAGGGTGCTATTTACAGAGACGGTGTCTCAGACTGAGGGATGCATGCAGATGTCATTTCCAAGTGCCTGGAGTACAGGTTGGGGAACTGTATTCAGTGAAGCCAGAGAAACCTGGATAGAGATTAGAAAAAGAAAACCTCTCATTGTAGTTGTGGATTCTAAATTGGTGATCTCCTGAGAAGTAGTGTCCTTCCAGCTGATGAACAGCTCTGCCCCTTCCCTCTCACTCCTTCTACACTTTCAGTGGGGGGAATGGCTTTGTGTTGTGCAAAAAGAATTCTTCAGTTCTGGTCACAAACATTGATCGAAAAACACAATGCCTGCTGAATGGAAATTGAACGCATGCATGTGTGCATGAATGAATCCAGGGAGTTGGGGACTTGTCATTAGTTAAACCATTTATTCCACACACATAGACTCAGTGTTCTGGATGACAGGGAAATCCAGACCCTTGTGCTGTGGGAGGCTGGGGTAGGATTCTCTGACATGGGCCCTGGTCCTTGGGCAGGGGCCTCTTGATTTGGCAAAGTAATTGAGGCTCTTTGAGATCTAAAGGGCATACATCATGTGTTCTACCCATACCTTGCTACCTTTTTGGCTATGTTTTGGATATTGGTTGAATTTCATGCTGAAATTGCTTCCAGCAGGCATCTGGAGTCATTGGTGAAACACAGCTTGCACAGATGAGGCCAGAGCTTCTTCCTGGGAAGGGATGCGTCAGAAATGTCTGTCTGGAGCAAGGTGGCCTGACAGCTGGGACCTTTAGGGTGGGAGCAGCCACAGCCAATATCTCTTCTTAGGGTACTTTGTGATAAACCAAGAGGAGAAGATGGGGCAGAGTAATCACAGAAGCCTCAAGCCTTGGGTTGGCTAGCTGGCTGGCTTGCTTTCTTCCCTTTACTTCCCTCCCTCCACCCCCTCTCCTTCCTTCCCCTCTCCTTCCCTTCTCTTCCTTCCTGTTTTTTTTTCCTTACAGGGTCTCTGTATGTAGCCTAAAGCTCAATGTGATACTCCTACCTCAGCCTCCAGAATGCTGAGATTGTGCTGGTATTACAGGCATGCACCACCATGCCTAGCTCAAGTCCTGGCCTTTAGAACCTTTGTCTAGACAGAAACAGTCAAGAACTCCTTTGGCCAGTCTTTCATAAGTCTGCAGACATCAGAATAGGGCTGCATCCTGTGCCTGACTCTTCCACCTTTCACCTCAGCAGTGCTCTCAAAGCACAATGTGAAACAGGCAACAGACCCCCCTAAGGACTGAGGTAAAAATCCCTCCCAGCCAGATTTGGTGGCTTATGCATGTAATCTCAGCACGTGGGAGGCTGAGGCAGGAGGATTGAAAGAGTGAATCCTGCCTGAGAAACTTAGCCAGAGCCTGTCTCAAAACAAAAACTAAAAATCCTTCCAACCAGCACCTCCAGGGATGTAGCTCAGGAGTCAGCAGCTACTTCAGCTCTCCAAGTGGCTCCTTTGCCTGTGAACTTTGAGGATGAGCCCCAGGAACACCCGGTAGGTGATTTACTGGTAGAAGTTACACAGTGTTGAATGAATGGGCTAACTTTCAGGTCACTTTTGTTAAAATGAACATTCCTTTAACCAGGACACAGGGAGCAGCAGCCATAAAAGAAAAGATTGATAAAGCAAACTTCATTAACATCAGGAACTCCTGTTCTTCAAAAGCTATCATGAAGAGAATGGAAAGGCAAGCCATGGACCAGGGAAGGTATTCATAACACTGTTCATGTATTGGATGAAGGGGTTGGTATCTGGGATGAGCCTGTGTGGTGTTAGATGGGAGAGTAGAGCTTTCTGCTTCTGTGGAGAAGGGTTGGGGTGGGGGCTGAAGAAGGGGCTGTGGGCTTCCAATGTGTGACCCAGATGGGAAAGACAACCCTGAGGGCCATTAGCCTGAGTGGCCCAGTGTGCCTGCCCCCGTGAGCAGAAAGGTTAAGCCACTTGCCCAGAGTCATTGCTGGTAGGTGGGGAAGCTGCGACTCAAATCCAGATCTTGTGATTCCTCACATGAGACACAGCAGCTACCATCTATCACTCGATGTCATTTCTACGTGTCTGCCAGCAAACGTGCTGCCTCTTCCTCCTGAGTCCCTCGCTTCTGGGCTGGTGGGCTTCTGTGTTTCTGTCCATTCCTTTTGAGCCACTCCTCCTGCCCTCTTTCCAGTTGCTGTGTAGGAGCCTGGATCTCAGTTTACCTGCTCATCATTACGTGAACACATGACTCCCCCTAGCCAATCATTTGTGATCCATCCTTTTGACCATGTGTGATGCTGAATCTCAATTGTCACCCGGAATGGATTAAAAGACACTAGAAGATTATGAAATCATGCTTCTGGGTGTGCATTGGTGGTGGTGGTAGGTTGTCCAGAGATGATTGGCATGCAGATCGACCAACTGAGGGGAACGACCAGCCCTGATGGTGGGCGACACCATCCAATAGGCTTGCAGCCCGGATGAAATGAACAGGAAGGAGGAAGTCGGCCTGTGATTGAAAACTCCTTTCTGCTCCAGTGGGCCTGTCTTTTGTGCTGCTGTTAACTATGGACATCAGACTCCGGCTCTTCAGCCTTTTAGTACAGGACTCTCCAGGGAGCTTCCCAGCCTCAGCTTCCAGTTGATGCTGCATCCTCAGTCCCTCTCGCTCTGTGACTTCGGCTTCTCCGAGCAGCTACTGGGTTCTCTGGTTCTCTAGCGTGCAGATGGCCATTGTGGATGCTCCTGCCACTGCTCCTTTCACCCCACCTAGTAAATCTCCTTGCATA